ATCTGGCAAGAAAGGTCATTTCAAACCAGGCAGTCCATCAAGCAGTAACGACTGTGAGAGGCAGTCTATGACTTTGGAAAGACAAGATTTACTTTCTGCCCCTCTTTGGCCAGCGGTGTGATGGCAGAGACGGGTTAATTGTGACCGGAGGGAAGTTTACATTGGCAAGAACACTGTGACCCTCAGGTGATACCCCGTTATAAAACGGAGCACCAGCATGAGAATTGAGGTCACAGACGGGCCTGTTCAGCTGCTGCTTTCTGTTTAATGAGGAAAAAATGACCAAACACACAGTTTTGTGTAATGTAGGCATCTAAGCTTACAAGCCATAGATGGCCTGGTCCCTGCACTTATGAACTTAGCATTTAATTGGGCATCTCTTTTGTGCAAAGCATTATACTAAGTATTGGTCATGGTTCTTGCTCTTAAAGCAACAGTCTAGAGAAAAAGATAACAATGGAATAAATAGATATGCAAGGTTATTTCAATTGTATCAGGTCCTATGATGGTAATAAACACAGCTCTTTTAGAAAAACAAACAATCAAGGCCAAACCTATTTTAGGTTGAATGGTAGGGGAGAGTTTTTCCAAGAAAGTTACACTCAGATTGATAACCGGAGGAGCCCAGGTGCCTGGACAGCTGTGGCAGACAACTGTAGGGTCTATGCCCTCCTGCTGTCCTGCACACGAGTGAAGGCAGGATTTTATTCTGATCAATAATTATATGACAAGAGTGAAGAGCTTTTGCAGATGTAAAGTACTTAATTCTTGATTTCAAATTAATCCATGGGAGGTTGATCTTAAGTAGCTCTAGAAATCAGAGACCTGAAACTCCAGGGTTTCTGTCTGTTGCTGAATCTGAAGTATTCTGCAGCTGCAAGGAAATGAGTATGTGGAGTTCAAAGTGCATCCTCCCTGCCCCCCGGGCCTGCGGTGAGTACACGGACTGCCCAGAACCCCATTTCCAGTCGTGAGAGACTTGGAGCTTAGAACCCAGCTAAGTAAGGCAGGTCAGACACTATGATCCAAAAAGTTGTGAGATTTAGTACAGGGAGACAGCACGTGAGTATTCTTCTGAGCCACTAATTTGCTACACAGAAAGACAGCAAAACCAAATGCAATATTTTGAGCATGATAAGATCCATCAAGTCATGAGGAGCTGTGCAGGCAGAAAAGAAGACAACAAGAAGTTGTACCCTGGGACACCGTTCTAGAACAACATAATGCCCAATGCACAGTGGATGCTTAGGGTACCTGTTAAACAAATGAGCAATAAGAGAATGCTTTTGAATAGACTGCTGTTACCACCACCCCACTCCCAGATTTTACAGTATTTCTTCAGTAGTTAGTTACTGAAATATTATTCAAGGCCCAGAACTCCATTGTTGTTATGGGGCCAAGAAAAGTGATTAATAAATAGAGTCTGGCCCAAGAAACAAATTTTCTGCCAGCAGCTCTTTTGGGGAACTTCTGATCCCGGAAAAAGCCACGTAGTTCTATGGAGATTAAGGAGTCTGTAATGAGTTATGATACAACCCAGCAATCTGGGTCACAGCTGAAAGCCTGATAATTTGAGGTTTCTCTTCAGAGCCTAATAAACGGTCTGAAAAGCTGCCAAGTGCTAATCAAGTCCAAGGAAGACGGTATTGTAACAAGATAACCACATCATCAAAGGCCACGTTGATGATGGTTTGGAAAAAAGGAAATGAAATGCTAAGAAAATTAGCAGTTCATTAATGCTGGTGAATTCAATGCTGAAAATGCAAAGGTGTTTATAGATTGGAAAATCACGTTCCATGTCCCTCTGGTCAGTTTTCCCAGATTCACCGGAAATATCTCTACCCATCAGAGAGGATAAATGACACGAGCATTGCCATCTCGTCATAGCAAGCACGCGCGCATCATCCCACGAGGAACAGAGGAGGGCTGTGGAGCAGGTCAGGGGATGCTGCTGAGAGTCCCAGGAGCTGGAAAGTGATCCGCACAGAACAAGCAGGGATGGCACTTTCAAGGAGCAGAACTGAAATTCAAAGACAACTGGCTTCTTTAGCTCACACTCACGCATTAGCTGGGGTGCCTTAGTTTATCTGCATTTAAATATATGAGACAATGTATGATGTTTCTTTCTGGTGATTGTGGTGCTTGTAAGCGAAATATCCATACATTTTAGAGAGAGATAATTAAGGACAATGTGTGAGGTTAAATAGAGGGGTAGGAAGTAGAAGACACTTGGCATAGCTGGGCATCAAACTGACACCAAATTTGGAGGCCACTAAAGGGAAAGGGCTGGATGGGTGCATGTTTAAAATGCCTTTTGATACCAGACCTCCAATTCATCCAGCTCAGCTTTGCTTTTGCTGAGTTAGCGTTAGAATTAGAATTCAACTGGAATGCTCAAATAGCTTCTCCCCAAGGGTCTATAAAAAATAAAAACACCACTGATTCCATAATGAGTTGCCAGTTATTTTACATTAGGCATTATGTTGAGTATCAGCAACTTGTTCTGATCTAACCATTCTCAATCAACAAAACGGACTTTAAAAATTCCACGTGCAAATAGAGAAACATCTGTTAAGCCTTCTTTTTCCTTATGTTCTGATAGACATGATTCATGTTACAACAAACAAGTGCTATATAACTGATATAATCACTCTTTGATAAATGTCATTTGAGATGAAAGTGGCAGTTACTGGCAGATCCTCATAAAAAAAGATCATGAGAACTTCCAGAAAGCAACACCAGAAATCAGATTACAGCTTCCCCTAGGACGTGCGTGACACGCACAAAAGGAAAATACTATGCATATTTTGGGGTTTTGGAAGCACTGAGGAAATCGCTTTGTCTTGTAAGGAAAATGGAGGGGAGGGATACAAAAATAAACAAGAAATGATTTAAGCAGGGCAAAGATGAAAGCAATATCATTTCATTTCCTTATCTTTGCTTTTGAGAGTTGACAGAGTGTTTCAAAGCAGAGTGTAGTCTATGAGAAAGCAACCAGTAGTGAGTAAATCTGTAATTTATGAAACCTGATTATAACACTTTCCCCTGCACCTGCCTGTCCATAGACTGCCTGGCACAGTAGACCTGTGCTCCACTGCCTGACTCTGTAGGCTTCCAGAACTGCTCTAGTCAGCCAGGAGCTGGGTGAGTAGTGGCATCAGAGGTCTCTGTCCCAGCACCCTCTCTACAACAGGGCACGGCCTGGTTCACCGGCTTCATACCACTGGTGGTGTGAGATGACCTAAAACAGCTCTTTTAATAGTTATTTTTCACTTCAACATGCATTGTTTTCTAAAAAACAGGAAAACTAGTGCATCAAAGCTGTAGTTTCACATAAACTACTTTTTAAGATAAGATGAGTTTAAAAAGTGAGTTTTGAGTTGAGTTAGTACAAAATATGAGATAATTATACAGGTGATACTCATAAATGGCAAAAATCATAAAGGTGGGATGTTAACAGACAACATCTAGAAGATGATGCAGAAGATAATGTCCTTATTCTATTGCTTTGACTACTTCTTTGTTGAGATTTTTGGTGTTTGTTTCCATTTACAAAATATATGCTCAAGGCAGAAAATGTAGATACATACATAGGCGCAAATGGAGGCCACAAAAATCAACCACAACGCTATCTGCTAAAGATAAAAACAATTAACATTTTTATTTTGGCCCACCCAATACTTTTTCTATCCATTTTCCCCAAGTAAAAATGGGGCTCTGCCTTCATACTCTGTTTCATAGCTGGATTTTTCCACTTAGCAGTATCTAATGAACACTGTCCCACATTGTAAGCCGCCTTCTACAAGAAGTCTTTTGTTGAATGAAGAATGTTCTACTCCATTATGTGGTTAAGTCAGTATGCATTTTAACTGATTATCGCTGCACACTCCAGTGGGGATGGTCACCATACTCCAAAGCCACAAAGCTAGTGAGGAGTCATACCAGGATTTGCTGTACCTAAATCTGCCTGATTCTCTGCACGGAGCGATTCTCAGCTAATACACCAGTGTGTCTTAATTCAACCTGCCCTGACCTATGGAAACCAGAGCAGAGCTGCGTTTCTCCAACATTTCTCAGCGAGTAAGGGGCAAGACAATAGCAGGAACAGAGGCCCTTGCTTGAAATACAGATTCCTGGCCCCTACCACAGTCTCCAGAGTGAGAATCTCTAGCGTCGTGGGCTGGAAATATACATTGTAAAATTGCTGCCCAGGACATGCACTAAAATGTTCAACCCTTTGTGAAGCATACAATAATATCTATTGAATGAATGGAAGGAAGGGTAAGGTTATGCAGAACTCAAGAACTAAGATACCCTGTTCCCCAGACCTCCACCAGAGACGGGGTATAGGCATGTTTGGGGGCGCACCCAAGCAGAGACTCAGGTGTCCCCCTCAGGTACACTTGGAAATTCACAATGTAAGGAACATAGGGTATAAAACTCTGGCTTGTTTTTTTTTTTGTTTTTTTTTTCAGTTTTTTTCCAGTACCGGGAATCGAACTCAAGACCTTGCACTTGCCAGGCAGGCGCTGTGCTGCTGAGCTAAATCCCCAGGCCCCTACTCTGGCCTGTTTTAAAGAATCACTGGATGATCAGGTGTTCTGTCTAGTTGTGTCCTTGGCTGAAGAAACACAAACTCCACTGCTAACCCCACCTGCTTTAAAGGCAGAACCATCTTTTTAAAGAAATTTCATACTTTGATTTTCTAGCACTTTGGCACACAGAAGCCAGGCTATACTCATAGGGTCAATTTATCTCTTAGACACAATAATCTTAGTCCCTTGGCCCATGGGTTTTTAGGGGCTGACAGAAGCCCCTAAATTTAATTTCTTTTAAAATCGGAAGAAATTCATGAATATAATCTAGCCTATAGTAGATTTTTTACCAATAGAGTCATAAAATGTAATATTTAATGCTTTATTATCAAGAAGTGGCCCATGAAAAGTTACGACGTGGGTCTGTGGATCCAGGGCTGTGGGCCCAGGTGTGGGACACCTTACCTGACATGCGTTGTACAGGAGCTGGTGTTCAAATTTCTTGATGCCAAGAATGTTCTGGAACATCTCGTAGAGTTGCTCCTTGCTCAGAATCAGTTCTGAGGCTGCGCTGGCTGTCATCCGGGCCTGCTGCTTCCTGGGGTCCTCTTCCCCGCGGTAGATAGCATCGAACTTGGCCATCCAGGAGCTCAGCACGGTCTCCTTGCTGAGGCCGTCGATCTCCGGCAGGCTCCGTACGCGCTTCTCAATGTGCTTCTTGAAGACCTCCCGCGAGTCGTGGGCAGAGCAGCCCCCGCTCTGCACCATTCGGGCTACCCGGTCGCTCTTCAGGAACACCTGAGCAGGGGCAGCACAGGGAAAGAGTGTCAACCACGCAGGTGCCAGGCCCAGCACTGGCCACCACCAGCTCTCCACGTGCTCACCCCAGGAGGCACCAGGTCCGTCCCATCCTGCCCACCCCTCCTGGCTGTGCCACCTGCAGGGGAATCACTTCCACTTCCGTGTCCAAGTCTGCAAAGGGAGAGTAACACCAAGACGAGAATACCCATAGTGCCAGTGCGGATGGTACTGGGACCCCCAGGGCAGGCTCGAAACCACGGGCAGTGCCAGACCCTGGTGGTACCGTGTTTTTCCTATATTCCATTCCCATGATAAAGTTTGATTAATTCACTCTGGTAAGCGATTAGTGACATAAAGTAATAATAAAGTAGAACAATTATAACAATATATTGTAATAAAAGTGATTTAAAACATCAGCAGGGTGGTGGACTTTTGCAGATGGAAAAGGGACCCAGGGAGGAGGGAAAGGGAGGGAGGGGGAGGAGAGGGGGATTGAAAAGGGAATAAGACACCACTCGTACTAACTCCCCAGGGTGCGTGTGCACATTATGCATCACAAACATACAAACTTTAAAAGTTCATTGATTGAAATATCTATTTACTCTTGCGATTTTCCTTATGTTGTTGCTGGGCTGCAACTGACCCCAGGTAAACAAAACTGCAGAAAGTGAAACTGCCTTCAGGGGCAGGATTGGTGGCTGCAAGAGTTATATTAACATTAACAACATTAACGTGTAATCGGCAATGTCTGTACTCAGGCTTGGGTTCTTTCCCTGCCACTTCACGACTGAGGTCTAGGCGGGTTAACCTCTCTGTACCTCAGTGCTCTTCTCTATGCAGTTGGGGGTACCCAGAGCCCTCACACAGCTATTTTAAAATGAGAATCAAATGAGTTATCTTGTGAAAAGCACTTAAGCCACGCCGGGCCCACTACATGCTGTGCGAGTCGCAGCTGTCCTGATAATGTGTAAGGTTTTCGGCAGGGTGTCTGGCCCGCAGCCCCGAAATGTTAACCACGACCTACATCCAATTTTGTACCCTCAGTGATACTTTCCATAAGTGGAGTTAAATCAGTGTTGGAGAAATGCGTGCTTAATCATCTATAGTCTATCCCGAAATGGAAACTTCACGATAGCTTCAGTCTCTGGTGCAACATCTACCCTGCTGAACCCAAATTAACCATGAGCATGGGCGTGGTATTCAGTCTGATCTTGTGGATGGGAAAACCATGTCTCTAAGGGGTTAAGGGACTCGCTGTCAGTAAGGAGAGAGCCTGACGAGAACACAGGTCACTTGACCATCCCCAGCTCCTCTCCTCCTCCCGGGTGCTCTACAGAGGGAGGGCCCTTGCTAGTTGGACCAGTGCTGCCTGAGTCCTAGGAGGAGACCATCTATTAAGAGTGCTCAAAACCACAGTGTTAAGTGAAATAAATCAGATGCATAAGCTTAAATACAGCACAGCTTCTCTCATATGAAAAACCCGAAGTATAAATAATTTAAAAGCAAAAGAAAGGAGAGACAATAAGAAACAGGGAGACAGATCTTTGGTAAATGGGAAAGAAATCTTGAGATGGGGGTGGGGAGAAAGAAAGGGGAAGGCTAATAAAAAGGACTGAGGAGTGTTACGCACCTGTACCTGCTCCCCAAGCAGGTGCAGTCTCTATGCACTGCAAGCATGTACTAATAAAAAAGTGTTTTACTCTTGTTTCACTTGCTGCTACCTCTTGAAACCTCCCACAGCTGCATGGTTCCTGAGTGTCATACAGAAAAACTACTGCCACTGAGCGCTATGTTCTGGTCATACTTCAGGATCTGCGTAACTAGCCCTTGGGAGGCAGAGCAAGTGTGCACTTCCTTGTGAGGTCGAGGACCTGAACGCCCTTGCTGGCCTGTGAAGACACCTCTCAGGTCTGGTACGCTGCATGCGTACTGCTCTGTCATGCAGCCTTTCTGAGGGTGGGGAGATGGTAAAGCAGAAGGCTGGGTTTCCTGTCCACTCCGTGAAGTCCCCTGGACAGATGGGAGGACTGACGGTTTGCCTGGGTGTGTGAGATTTTACAGGTCATATGGAAATCAATCTCAGAGGCAAAGTTGCGGATGAATCCTTAGGTATTATGAGCCTTAAGAGCCAATGAATTCACATGAAACCTACCATCCTTAATACAAACAGTTTTCCCCATCTCATTAACAAGTTATGAACCTCAGCTCCAGACCTGGATCTTAGGGAACATGAAAATGTTCATGCAGATTGAGAAGTCTGGAAAGTCAGCGCAGTGTTCTAGTAGGAGTTGCAAACTGGGGTCCCGTGTCAGCTCTGCCGCTAATCTGCGGTGTGACCTGGGGCCAGTCACTTTCCCTCTTTGATTCTTCAGTTTCTTTTCTACACAGTGAGGGAGCTGAACTGCAAGAGTTTGGTGTTATCCTTCTGTCTATACCCATACTCTTCTCCTTGAACCCACTGGTCCTTTCCTTGGTAGTTACCAGCTGCTAACCCACTGTTTCAGATTCCAAGGGTGCTGTGGTGGGGAAAAACACAGATTCGGCCCTGATGGACTGCAAGACACCATCCAAATAACCCCACACGAATGTGGTTACAATCTGGAATAAATGCCGTCACAGGAAGGTACAGAGGCCATGGGCCTACTTAAGAATGTGGTCCAGAAAGCCTTCCTGAAAGAGGAATCTTGCAGGTAACATGCTGGAAGGTGAACACTGAGAAAGGTATTTCTGAGAGAAGGGACAGTGTGTGCAAAGACCCCAGCGACAGAGAAATAGGGAGCAGCTCCTTAGCAAAGGTGCTGCACGGCTAGGAAGTGACTGATCCAAGACTGGCAGAAGGGTCAAATGCCAAGGGCAAGGGCACAGGCGTTGAGGGTGCTGGCCATCCTTTTAGAGGCACTGGGGAGCCATTGAAGGTTTTGAGCTGGGACAAGGTGCAAGACTAAAGGGGGCAAGAGACTAGGGAGGGAAGCAACGGGAAGGTCTTTGTGGGCGTGCCAGTGTGTGTGGATGGAGGCAGAAGCACAGTGGGGCTCGTTCTTTGTCCTCAGTCCTACTGAACGTCACAGGTGACTTGTAAACAGTCAGTCAACCACAAAGCTATACCCTCTGCCCCACTGGTCCACCGAGGGCCCCACAAACCCGGGGGAGCCCCAGTTATACGTCTCTTTATCACACTCATTCTCCAAAAGCCCTTCCGAGCTGCCACCCGTTACTGCTTTGGACCGCTAAAAACCTGAATCTGCAGGCAGACTGTGCCCTCCAGGGAGGCAGGGTTGTCAGGCTGCTGTCTGATCACTTCTTAGTGCCTAAGACGGTGTCTGGCCCAAAGCTGGTGCCCAGTGTTGGCTGAATGACTGCAGGACTGATCAGAACAGGGCAGCTTTCCCGGGCAGAGCCCCTCCTGAGTGCGAGCGTGTTTGACTGGGCAGGAGGGTAGAGGGGAATCAGCCAGCGCACTGGTTGGGCTTCTCACAACAGACGCCGGCACTCGGGTCTCAGCTGGTGACCGGACTGGCTTGGCGACCCCCGAGTCCCAGACCCCTCACCTGCTCCTCGCAGTGCCTCCCGCTGCACCTCACGCTACTCAGTACACAGTGAACCACTCGCGGTGTGCTCTGCAGTCACTTAACCTCTCAACCTTTCTCCTTCACCGTCGCTGGAGTTAATCCAGGCTTCCTCCTTTGACAGCGAGAATTTGAAAGGGGGGTGATCTGTCTGTGCAGAGGGGAGATATGACTTCCAGGCCCCGGAGAGAGGCTCAGGGAGCGGAATGTTGGCACTGTGGAAGCAGAGGACTGACGAAGGGAAGGAGGAGGTGCAGGAGGAGGTGAGACAGCCGTGGGGGGCGGGGTGGCCGCAGGAAGCTAATTCCCAGGCACATCGTCTGTCTTGGCGTCTCAGTCTGTGGGAAGGGACGGGGCCCTGGGCCAGCTGACCTTGTGGTGAACGCAGACGCACAGCACTGATGTACAGTTCTGGTGTGTCTCTAAGCCAGCCACGAGCCTCACTTGTGTCTCTGTTTGTTTGATTCTGGTTTGGTTTTTGGTGGCTGAGGCATGAGACTTCAGCCTCAGGCACTGTGCCACGCAGAGCGCCCGTCAGTCTTCCCTGCTTCCCTGCCCCCTTCCAGACACGCCAAGTGAGAGGTGGAAAATAAACACATAAACACAGGATGGTGGCAGGTGGTCAACTCAGGGACTCGCCTCGATTCAGCAGTCCTGCCCTCCGTCACCGTGGCCACGTGGCCTCAGGACTGCGCCAGAAATTCACAGCCACAGCCGCTTCGTGTGGCTGTGCCCAGCGCAGGGCAGGGCAGGGATGCTCCTACTTTCCTGCTGACAGGGTGAGAAGCCAGGCCATACCGTCCTCTTTTGCAAAGGCTTTTCACCCCCACACAAGCCGTGGTGAATGAGATCATACACACACCCACGCAGACCCAGCTGCTATTGGTGAATGGCATATCAGTAGCGGGAGGGGTGCAGCTGTACTCAGGAACAGGGCTCTGGTCTCACCCTACCTGGGCTCAAGCCCAGGCTCCAGTGCTTACCAATCTGTTACCCAAGCGTAGTACTTACTCTTCCTGAGTTTTAGTTTCTTCACCTTTCAAACGGGACCATAATAACTTTAGTCTGTAGGATCCGCTGGTAAGGATCCAATGAGATCAGGCAGGCCAAATGGGTAGGGTAAGAATGTAATAAAAGTTGATTGTTATGTTTAAGAGAATATGATGTGGTCATGATAAATTACATATATTTACTGGCAACAGACATTGTCCATGCTGTATCATTGTACCAGACTCTCACAGCAGTCAGGGGATACAGGAGAGCAGGTCAGGAACATGTCACAGAGAATCGCCGGTAACATGGCATTCTACTGGGAAGGTCATGCTACATGCACAACTTGTGTAGAGGCAGGAGAGAAAGGGACTACACAACTGCGCTAAGTACAGGAGGTGTGCTCTGAACAACTTGTAATAATTTTCCACCCTAATATGGAAGTCCCTTGTATAGATACATGAAAAATACCTGGAGAGACATATATCAAAATTCGATACTAGTTGTCTAAGATGATAAAATTACACATGTTTGAGCCATTCAAAGGTGCTCCTACGTTAATTTTTATAATTGGCATGTTTTACTTTCAGAAGCATTTGACGCACGTCTTTTTAAGCGGAAAAATGTGAAAGCTTACCTTCTCAGGCCAAGTGCATGCTCATTTCTAAAATATAAGGCACTTTTGGATCTTAAAGCTATGCTTCCCCAAAGTGTAAAGGACTGCTGGGCAAGTTTCAGAAGCAGACCCAGGGCCATGACCTTGTGGTAGGCGGAGGATGACTTTGGGATAGGGGATCTGTTCCTGCACCTCTACCTAGAGCCTCCTTTACCCTCACCCACTTGGGGCTGGGCAGTGCCCTGACTGTGTGAACTTGCTTCTCCCTTCTAGTATCTCTATGCAGCATAGGGGCACTGTGCCACCTTTCTCCCCTGCTGACCATGTGTTCATCGTGGAACCTTCCAGGATCCATCTATATGGGTATTGCTACAGGTGGAGAAGCCTAGGCTCCGACCAGGCCAAGGGCCCACAGCCAGAGTGTAGCAGCACGTGGCCCGGACCTGCATCCTTCTCCTTGCCCACGGGGACAGGGGCTGTTACAGTGGGGAGACGCTCTTCTCCCAGGGATATACCTGTTTTAAGGTCACTGAGTAGTTATTAGGGGTTTATTTATTGGAAAATGTATTGTTCCAGTTTAGAAAAATAGGTAGGGCAACCTCACAGATGATTTTTTTAGATTATTATTATTATTATTTTACAAAAAGGTCAGCCATAAAGACTTCAAGGTCCACCCCAGGTGGAAGAAACCTACAAGTTTTGCCTGCCAAGCTCCCTCTTCTGATGACGCCGTTGAAGTCTCCCTCCCAGGAGCCCCCTTCCCACGGCACACTCTGAGTAGGATTGTGAGACTCAGGGCCTTGTCCTTCTTCAGCCAAGTAGCAACTGCAAGCTGAGCATCACCAGAGAGACTACTCCTTCCAGGGCTCAGGCCAAGAGCCGGGTGGTGCGAACATGGAATAGGTTGGGTCCACTCATGCCAATGGCAGCATGATCTCACAGACAGCTGTTACATGGCTTCTGGACATTCCACTATCCAGGCTCCCACCTTTTCTGAAGCCTGGTTATTTCCTTTGATCACAATGAAAGCCACAACAGTAGTCTTTGCTGCTGTTATTATGAGAGTTTAATTGATCCACAGTTTCTACTGCTTATAACTGAAGACCTCTGTCTGAAAAACCATTAAAAACTAGTTGGACAAAAACAAACCAGATGTTTGTTAAAGGAGATCAGCTACAAAACAAAATTTTAAAGACCAAATAAACAACCTCAGTCACGGCTGCTTCATTGGCAGAAGCCAGATACATGCTATAGGGCTCCTGAGTGAGTTTTCATGTCTCCCAGCCACACACTCCATGCCTGTTTTCAACAAAAGCCCCCGGAATTCCTTTAGGCAAGATCTGAGATTGGTAAAATTTTTCCATCCACTTCTGTTCTGTGATACTCAGACCAGCCTTGAAGGAGCCAAAATCAAGCAAGGCAAGGAGGGAGGCTTGAATTTAAGACATTTGTCTTCCAAGAACTGACAGCGTGGAAGGCTGCAGTGGGCCACCTCAGGACTCTGGCATATGAACGGAAATGGGATGCTCAGCTGATCTTGGAGCACCTGTCCCAGCCCCCAGCCCTTACAGCCCTGAGCGAAGGGACTGGAGGGGTAATCTTCTCCCCAGCTTGATCTCCTCTGACAACCGGGGCCACCAGGAAAGGACAAAATAGACCCGCACACTTTGGAAAGCCATAGGGAACCCTGCTCTTCTCTGTCCTACTCCAGCTCAGCATCCAGGTCAGAGCAGCTTGCTGTTAGTGGCAGCAGCTTGGTTCCAACCAGATCAGATGGTCGCTGTGGTGGAAGCATGTATTTCCCTACTCCCTCTACAACTGAAAAATAACTGCTACTCTAGCATGCTGACAAATCATTGCCTTAGCGAAATGAGGACAAATGCCTACACTGAGTTTTCTACAAAAAGAATCTCAGAATTTTTTAAGGAAAAGCTACATTACTTTTGTAAGGTCTTTGCTGTTGATAAAGTCAAATTTCCAATATGGTATAGTGGGGAGAGAAAGTGAGACAGACAGATAGACAGACAGACAGACACAGAGAGAAGAGAAAGGTAGGAGGAGGAAAAGGAGGAAGGAGGAGGGCAGGGGTAGAGAGAGGGTGCAAGAATGAGTTGGGAAGGAGGGTATCTGTTGGTTCCAGCTGCAGAGCATACACATGCCCTCTTGACAAGAAGATGCCCTGATTTCATACTGGAGGCCATGGTACCTCACTACAGGGACGGCAGCAGGGCTGAGGTGGAACTTGAGTTCCTGGCCGGTGTCAGTCATGGACCCTATGAACAGACTGTCTCAGCCCCACCCACAGCGACAGGCTCAGGTAAGTACACGCCACATGTGTTGTCAAGCAAGTCACCCGGGCCTGTGCTGGGATCCTCAGAGGAGAAGAGTTTGCTCTGTCCCGGGGTGGGTAAGTTAGTAGGATGAGCCTCATGTCTCCCGTGTGGACAGAACCTGGACCAGATGAAAGTCAGCACAGGAGTGAACTGAGCAGAGGTGTAGGGGAGAGACACCACCTTGCAGGCAGTTCTGGAGTCTGGATCCAGCACTGACTGCAGCCAGGCCTATTCCTGGACTATAACATTACTTGACAGGTCAATCTCTTTTTAGGCTTATGCTAGTTTGAGTTGGGAGCCTGTCACTTGTGATCTAAAGAACTCTGGCCAAAATAGAGGCCAGGAGGGGTGCACTGCAACCCCAGAGTCAGTGGGTAAAGAGGCACCAACTTCTCTAGAGAAGGGAACACCAGGAGGAAAGAAGAGCAGGCCAAGTACCTTGGAGCTTTGCCCAGCAAATGCTAATCCTGATCCCTGGACAGAGGGCCTTCACTTTAGAGGATCAGACTTCCCCGAAAAGTGAATCCGAGATTCTCTAGAGCTTTACTAATGAAGACAGCAGTGAGATCATTAGTGCCCCACATGGATATGTTACTCAAATCCTAACATTAAATATTCAGGATCTCCTTACTGCCCAGATCCTCACAAGACAAAAAAAAGAAGCTCTTTTTCATAAACTCGTCACTGTACAGGAAAATATTAGGATCACTGTAGATATCATGGCAATTTCCAGAGACTCGTTAGTATGCTGACAACTATTAATTCTCAAATTTAATTAATAGATAGAAATGGCATTTTACATTTATGTCATTAGTCAAATGAGCTTTCTAATTAAGATTTGTAATCTACAAATTTATAAACTCTAGCAAATGACTGTAAACACAGGAGTATTGATAAGGGTCTGTCTAGCCCGACAAGGGCTCTTGCATGACTCTCCTACCAGCTTGCAGAACTTGATAAAAAGGGGGAAAATTAATTTCACCCTTGGGTAGTTTCTGTGCCAAACCTTTTGTTAGATATACTGAAGTTATTGGCATGCGTCACTGTGGTGCCAACTCCCATTCCCACTGCCCGTGAAAGTCAACTGAGAAATCACAACACATCAGGTTGAGGTGCAAGGTCGAGGCTCACTGGCATTAGTGGATACTATTTATAAAATTAAAAAAAACTGCATTGGGGCAAATGTGAAAATTACCTCGACTTTTCAAATAGCTCCCTATAGGAATTTCCTTAAGGAAATGTTGTGTAGTATGAGCCTGTAGCTGAAACCAACAAATGCCACAGAAACAAAGATCATTTACTATTAACCGCTATTTAGCAAACCAATCAATAATATTTTCACAAGAGCTAATTGCAATCATGCTCCACGGTTTCCAAAAAGTGAGCCAAACACCTTAGCAGGCAAGGAGAATTTCACCAAATTAAAATCCCTCCAGCAAGTAATGCATTGAAAGCATCGTCATCAGTAAAATGGAAAATTCCATCAGGATCCATCTCATACAAATGTTATACATCCTGAGAAAATACTCAGCACATTACCTGGTATAAAAATCAGAAAGCAGTAGCTTCTACTTATAGTTTCCCCCAAAGAAAATGCTGTTATTCCTTAACACCATAGCCAGCCGCCAACCCCTGTGCGCAGGGAGAGGTGCTCCTGTAGATTGGAGGTGGCTCCCTCTGACCAGTAGCCCAGAAACCTCCCCCGGGGCTTCCACAGCCCTGGCCTTCTGCATGATGCTTCATACCTCATAGTAACTCTGGACGGCGTTCATGAAGGCCTCATCCGCCACGATCTGGGTTTCGCCATTGAGAAAGGCCTGAAAGCGGTCCTTGACTGTCTGCAGCTGCTGTTTGCTGATCTGTAAAACAGAGAGGAAGAGGGGAAAGTGAGCACTCGCTCTAGGCACAGGCCACCACTGTTCCACAAGGACGATGCGTACGCGCTGCTGTGGTAATTTAAGTTGGCACAGACTTTTTGTTCATGGGCTAGTGTTGCAAACAACCATCATTCAAAAGCAATGTAAAGCATAGTTAAACAGCTCTTGCAAACAAAGCCCGTAAGTGTGTAATACTAGAAATTAACTGCTTTCTATTTTGGTACATTTCACTTTTATCTGTGCTTTTATGGTTCCTTGCAACTATGGCATCTGTAAGCTTGAGTGGTGTAATCTCCTATCTTTCCCTGGCTGTGGAGTAGTGATGTCTCATCAGCAGCTGAGTACCAACCACAGCATGGGTGGGAGCTGTAGCATCTGCCTATACATATATTTAAAAGAGATGGTTGCTCCATATTTCATAGAAAGCCCAGCACTGCCCAGGCTCCTTCGGTGGTCTGAAATATTGCAGGACACACTACACAGAGGCTTTCAGACCTTGTTCCTGGTGTGACAGGACACACTGTCAGGAAGCAGCAGGACTTGGGCAGCTGGGTCTGATGTTATGCGTTTCCATAGAAATTTAAAATACTTTTACTGTTAAGGTTAATATCATCTGTTTTGAAATTCTGCACCATTTTTATTGTTTTGTTTTTGTTTTTTAAAAAATTCTCTTTAAAATAAAACATAAAAAAATACAAACAGAAAAATAAAGTTTAAAACTATAGGAGACTTAAATTCAACCAGAGTTTTGACTCAATCTGGCATAAAAAGCAAATAAAACAAACAAAGCAAAAGAACTCCCTAAGTTTTGGGAATGTTCACCAGTGGCAGCTGGGGTACTTTATTTAATTTTTACAACTTTGGAAGAATTTAGAGAACAGTGGAGTGGGAGGCAAGGAAAAGGGGCTGGGTACTTGTCGGCTTCATGTTTGTTATGTTTGTGACGATTCCGGGCCAGCCACATGTGTGACAATACATTGTGGAGAATCACATTTAAAAAATCAAAAGGGACAGGTAAAATGAATTTTAATACAATTTATTTATCCAATGCGTCCAAGATATTACCATTTCCAACATGCAGTTGTTATGCAAATTATCGAGATGCTTTATATTTTTAAAGCTAGGTGTTAGGAGTCTGGGTATTTCACCCTCTAACCTGCATCCGTTCGGAGCGATCATAGTGAGGTGACCCACAGTCCCCTGGGGCTGGTGGTTACTGTTGTGGATAGTGCACCCCTCACAGAGCCATTCAGCATGGGATGAGCTCACTTTGAACTCAACTTCGTTTAAGCTTCCCTGTTCTGACCCAGGCACAAGTGGAATCAAAGAAAAAATTCAGTTATCCTGAAAGCACTTGAAGCCATCTGAACTGAGGCAGTAGTTGATTTGATAATAAAGATGACACTGAGACATGAATTTCTTTTAAACATGTTGGCTTAACTGACTGAATCCATAAACTCTGAGAGTACAGGGCAAACAGGCATTTCACAAAGTTTCTTGTTCAGAATTCCTTCTAGGCTGGGGTCAGTTGCAGCTCTGAGGTTTGAGGATGGGATGGGATGATAGAGCAGGAGAGAATAATAAACCTTGCTTTTGTCTTAAGTGCTTAAGTAACCGAAAGAAGATGATGTGTGTTCTACCTGAATGACCCAGGGCAAGTCCATTACCTGTGTGACTTTTTGCTAAATAAGCATGGTGCTCGTTAGCTGCAAATATTTACTAAGTACCCACCAACTGCTCAGCCCTGTACCAGCCCTAAGGGTCCAGCTGTCACCCAAGCACACTCAACCTGCGTTTTCACTTGGCTGGGCCAGGCACCAGGGAATCAAAAGCAGTCAGGGACCTTGCAGTCTAGATGGGGAGGGAAAAGGACATGGAAGATGACACAAAATAGTTCTAGGAGTTCAGGACAGAAATTACAGAACATGAAGCACTCAAGACAGAAAGGAGCTTCAGGAACACTAACTTCGTCAGATTCAGAGAATACCCACCATGGAGCTACACAGGACATCACACACTTGGCTGGGCAGGGCCAGCTCCCAGCAGCGGGGGCATGAGGGAGGGGGATGCAGGCGGCAGAAGAGTGTTTCAGTCTGCATTTTGCCCTCTGCCAGTCTCTACCACTCTTTTCTCACCTAATTAAACACATATAACATTTACTTAGTCAGCTCTAGCTGTGTCTCACTGGGCAAAGCCAAAACAATCTACACCTCAATTTTTCCACCTGTACAGTGGAGCCAATATTGACCTCATAGACTGAAAGAAGGGTAAATTGAGCTAAATAAAATCCTCAGGGAAAACCCTGGCACAGCATGGACACTCAGGAAACGATAGCTGCAGTGCAGGTTATTTCTCACCACTGGGACTTTCCACACACTACTCCTTCAAGAATGCCCACTTGTGGGAAATCCAAATGACAAGGGCACACCATAAACCCAATGGCTGCCATGCTCCGTGTGAGCTGCCTCTGTCCACTCCTGACTTTGTGTTGTCCCTTGACACTTACTCTGCCCTGTGCTGCCCTTGTGCCAGTGACCATGTGCCTCTCTTTCCTGCCAGAGGCTCTGCTCTGCCTCTCCCCTGCAGGGGACGCTGTGGCCTGGCTCTACCTGTGGCTGCCACCACAGGCCTCAGTCTGCCCACATGTCTAGGAGAGTCTTCCCCGACCACTCAACCTAAAGCAGCATCCCTGAGCTCCTCCCTGCCACATCCTGGCGCTGTGCATTCTCTTCACAACTGCATCAGGGCAACGTTTGTCTTCTCCTCACATAAATTCGATTGCTTGAATTGTAACATACACATAAAGGAACGGGCATCATAGGCCCAGGGTGTGAGGAGTCCTCACCAGATGAACTTTCCATGTGATCAACTCTTATGCCAGATAAAGAAATTGCTCAGACTGAGAAGCTCCTGTATGTCCCCACAGTCACTGTCCCAGTGCAAAGTGACCACCAGCCTGACTTTTACCCTCCAAGCTGCGTCCCGCCTGCTTTTCACCTCGATGTGAGAGCAGCTGTACATTCTGGGGTGCAGCTGTGGCTGGGTGCAGCCGTGGCATGTTCATCACCATTGCTCATTGCATTCCACAGTGTGGCTCTGCCATAGTCTACCACTCTCCTCTTGATGGACATCTGAGCCCTCATCATTTAAGCACTGTGCTTGCATTCATAAGTACAAGACCCATATCCATTTCATATGCTGCTGAGCTTCTAGTGGCGGCCATGTAATGGGTTGTAAGCTCGACTGAATGCTTAGTGAATAGCAAGCTCCACACATATAAAACTACCAAGGTGTAATCTGAGCTTTCAAGTCAGACGTGTTAGTCAGCTTTTCTATCACTGGGATATAGTACCTGGCACCAACAAATTAAAGGAGCAGAGGTTTACTTGGCTCATGGGTTCAGAGGGTTCAGTCCATGCTAGGCTGCTCCAAGGCCTTACCACCGTGGTGGAAGGACATGGTAGTGTAGAGTTTAGTCTGCAGTGGCTGCTAAACTGTGCAGTGTGCAGGGGAACACCACCAGACTTAGACGCCAAGGCCACGCCTCTGTGACCCACCCCAGCACACTCAGAAGTGGCTGGGCAACTCTCAAGCCAGTCAAGTTGACACTCCAGCTTAGCCATCATTAAAGAACCACACCTCATCTTCGCCTTCCTAGCATTCTTTGCCAAATGTGTGAGTGAATGAAATCTCACTGAGAAGTTCATAAGAATAGCTAGTCTGGGAATCAAGGGACAGAGTTTGTCTCTGGGAACAGTTAACTGACCCAGATAAGACTGAACCCAGAAGGTGACCTTGCATGCACAGACTGCAATAATTGGCCCAGAGTTGCTGACGCTGACAGCGTGACTAAATAAACAAACAGGCCTCACTGCTCACAGAGTGATCCCTCCTAAAATAGAAGTCCATCTACCAGCCTGGGATGTGTACAGAAGCCATCCATACATCAAGGTCAGAATTCCAAACTGCCGTACCAAAGTCCAAAAGCAGAAAATCTGCAAAGATGAACCAGAATTATCGTGGAAGGAAGTGCTGCAGTAGCACTTGCTAGAATTATTCAAGCCCTCTTGGTTCCATCTACCTCATTAGCCAAGGTCTGAGATCCCCACTGCATTTCAGGCCATTTGTCATTTACTGCAGCATCCTGAAGAAGTATGAAATGGATCCACCATAATGTCACAACCATGTGTTTTCAGTGCTGGTCTCAAGACAGGGGATGTCAGAACCGGAGCAAGCTCAGGTCCCAGCCTGGCCTCACTGCCAAACCTTGGGCAAGTGGTTCTCTTTCATTTTCTTTTCTGAAAACCCAGGCTGGAGCTGCCTACTTACCAAGTAGATAAGACACCTGAAGATCAGATACAGTCATGCATGTGAGGTACGGAGATAAGTGTCTACACTGAGTGCAGATGTAAAACAATATTGTAAGTGTTATTGTTACTGTTCAGTTTTCCTCTACAGTCACACCTTATCTTCTTTCCACGCTCCTTTTTCCTTGTTCGCTCAGGGTTTGGAGGTTGCACGACAGAAGTATTCTATAGCCCTCCTTCCTTCACCTTCTCATTTTAGAGGCTGGAAAGTCCAACACTCCTTTCCAGGCTCCCTTGCAGTGAGGGGCAGCCATGTGACAGTCATAGGACCACCAGGGCAGGGTGTGTTCCAAGGAAGCATTCAAAAGCCTCATAAAAGGCAGCGTGCACGGTAGGATTGTGCATCCCTCTCTGCTGCCCACTTTCTCTGCTGAGAATACGAATATATTGTCTAGTATTGGGATTCCTGTCTTGCAACCCTGGAAGAACATCACAGAGATGTTTACCATTCCTTTTCTTTTTTCTTTCTCACCATTAGTCATTAACCCAGGGCCTTTGCACTGAGCTTGTCCTAAGCCTTTAATTTTGAGACAAGGTCTTGCTAAGTTGCCAAGGCCAGGCTCTAACATGTAATCCTCCTGCCTCTGCCTCGTAGAGTACTGGGATTACAGGTCT